AAAAAAACAGCGATCTCTCAACATGGGCGAGGCACATAAGAAAGGAAAGGCAAAATTGAGTTTTTGATACAAATTTTAACGAGCTGACTGCCGAAAAAAATAAACAAAGCAGAATATAGATATTCAATTGTGAAAATTTTAATACTGTTTTTAAGCTATAGATGAAAAATTTGCTTATAAAAAGCAACAAAAGCAAAACAAAATTATAAAAAAAACTTTAAAATTAAAGTTTAAAATCGATGGCCGTCTTGTCAAAAGAAGGATTGGAGGTTAAAAATTTGATTACTGACGTAAAACCTAACAATGATCGGATTGTATTGATTTGAGTTTCGTTAAATTAAAGTTAACAAACGCATCAATAATTCGGACATTTGAGGAACTCTTTTTATAAAACTCGCTTTTTAAATCACTTCCAGAAAGTCTTCAGAAGCTAAAACTGCTGCATTTCTCGAAGATGGATGTCATTCTCAGCCAGAAAAGCCTGTGACACATTAAATCAAAAGTTAATAAAACTGAAACATCCCGCACTGACAGAAATGGTTTCCGGTCGATTTAAATTGATTTTAAATTGATTTTAAATCGATCCAAATCGATTAACCATGTACATTTTACGAACTTAAATGGATTTTAAATCGATTTAAATCGATCTTTTTGAAAATTTTAAATCGATTTAAGTGTCTAAAAAATCAATTTAAATAGATTTCGATGGTTTTTCCGACACTCTAAAATCGATTTTTTTTTTCTAACACGGCGAAAAAAAACATACCCTTTAAAAAATTGTTGCCATTTTTTATTCCCGATTTTTTAATTATAAACACTCTTATAGAATTCTAGATGTTATAGAATTCAATAAAATGATCCACATAAATCAAGTTTTAAACTCAAAAATTTGCAATAAAATCATAGACAACCATTGTAAATCAGATTATGGGCAAAACTTTGTGTAACAAACCAGAAAAGGGTCAGGTAAAATTAAATTGTGATCTCAATAATTTGCAAAAAAATCATAGAAAATCAGGAAAGTAAATCAAATTTCAAGCAACAACTTATGAAACTAATCAAGAAAAGGGTTAGAATTTTATCGATATTTTGGTCTTTTTATTTCGTCCTTTTATGCTACAATACGCTATGGATGTAAAATTAAAAATGATAGGCAAGAAACAAAAGCAATAAAAACTGATAAAACGCGAGTGAAAAAAATCGATTTAAATCGATTTAAATCCGTTTTAATCCCCTTAAAAATAAGAACAAATTCAGACTGGAAAAAATGCATTTAAATTGATTTTAAATCGATTTGGATCCATTTTTCAGCTGTGATTTAAGATCAATTTAAATCGATTTTAAATCGATCCAAATCAATCTTCATCTCATTAATTTCATCTTCTTACTTTTTCATCATTTTAAAATCGATCTAAATTTAATCAACGTACTTTTTTCATACTAAAATCTATTTAAATTTAATCAACGTACTTTTTTCATACTAAAGTCGATCCTAATTCATTTTTGTCAGTGCGGGATTGTTTTTTGTTCGGATTGAGAAATGCTGTATTCTTCTTATTTGCATCATTTTGTACAGAACAGGAAGCAATATACGCAATTAATTTGGAAATTTTTTATCAGAGTTTAAAATCTGATGATCTAATGCAGTTGGTAATGATGAGTTCACTGCTTTTTTGATTTTGTGAATAATCTAGAGCCTAAGCAACAAGATACTAAGACGTTTTTCATGCCGAAGACACTGCACTTTGATCTGCAAAATCAAAAAAGTTTAATGAAAGTAATATCAAAGTGGATATATCTTCTAGTAACTCTAAACATGGACAAATGAAAATAAATTAACCTTAGTAAAAGAAAAAAAGATCAAGGATAGCCGGATACTGTGCAATTAGAACAGAATGTTACGACCAAAGTCCCATAAACGGAGTAAAAACATTTTTTCAAATAAGTGTCGTATTTGTAAATTAGGAATTTTCTACAGTCACAATAACAATTAATACAGAACAATGACTTAAAAACGAACAAAAATCATTAAAAATCAAAAATAATTTTTTTTCTGATATTTTCTGCAGTTTTTTTTGAATTTTTGAAGCAAAAAAGTCCAAAAACTGACTTGACTGAAAAAAACGTAACTGTCGCGGCCTAGATTAAGCATAAATAAGCTATTGTATGCCTGCTCGCTCGTTTTCGTTGCTAAAAATTAGACAATAAAATCAAAAATTTGAAAATTGTTTTTCTCAGAATGGGACCCCTTTTGGAAAGTTTTAAAGAACGTTCGAGCATTACTGCAAGGGCCTTAATATGTTATGTTTTTTTACTCTTTCCGCTAATTATTTGTGGTATCTGATTTTGCGCGGACAACAAAAAACTGAAGACACTAAAACATATGCGAACGCAAAGCTTCTCCCAATTTTTCAAAGGGTCGGAACAAAAATTAGAGCTGAAAATGGGTCGAGCGGTAAAAAAAAATGAAAATCAGTTCAAATACTAATTTTGATTATGTCTGATTTATTTTCTAACAGCCACATAGATTTAACCCAGAAAACAATGAAATCTTTTGGGCTCATTCTATCAGCATCGTAAGAAAATAACAACATTGCAAAAATTATAAGTTTATGAAATTTTTGTTCAGCTTGATTTACAATATGGAGCATCAACTTATGGAGCAACCAGTATCACTAGAATTAAACATTCAATCATCGTAAAAAATTCATCTAATCATGACCTACAGAAAAAAAATGAATAATTTAAATTTTAAAAATCAGTCGACTGTATTAAACTCTTTACAGTCGACTGATTTCAAAGTCTTCGAACTAATCGAACAAATAATAACATTATCATCTGATGTTTTGATTTTCTGAGACACACTTTTTCTCACACTGATTATGTCAAAAAAAAACAAAAAAGACAAGCAGCTGGACTGTTCAAGAAGAACTGCTGAAAAAATTAGAATGTCAACAACCATTAGAATCAGGAAAATGTTCAAGGCTTCAATCCGATTTCAGATTTATTTTCAATATACAATACACTCCGCCAGAAATATTAAGTACACCTGTATATTTCAGTTTTTGTTCATAACTTGCCTTGCGTTCAACATAAGTGACTCACACTTTATAGGTACGTAGATAGTGTCACGGCTACCAGTCAGTACAAAATAACCTTCCTAGCTCTAATTGCCGAGTTTTCACATACTATTTTCCAAAACATTGCTCCCCAATAAAATAGATTTAAAAAACTACGTCGTACGATCTCAACGGACACGTTTGTTTGAGCAAATTCAGACCAGAAACTTTCTTTTGGATATTTGGAAAGTATTGAAACTCTTGTTTGAAACTCTGAAAACTCGGAATTTCACCAAGCGAGGTTGTTTTGCACTGAATGGTAACCAGTGATACTATCTACGTACTACAAACTTGAGTCAATTTTGTTGAGTGCGAGGCAATTAATGGACTAGTCTGAAATATTCAGGTGTAGTAATATTTTTGGACGGAGTATATTAAAAGCCTCATCCATTAAAAATAACACAATAAATCACAGTTGTTAATCAAATTCATATTGAGAAGCCATAATCTCGCAAATATCATATAAAAAAATTTTAATCGTAGTGTTTTATTAAAAACTCAAGTTTTTTAAGTCTCCAAAATTAAACTGTTCATCACTCGTTTTTTTTGCAGCTCATTTTCGTTATTTTCTTTTTAAAATGTATATTTGAAAAAAAAATCCTCTTTCAGACGTTACTAAAAGTAATATCCAAATGATTTGATACTGGTTTATAGAAAGTAGAAAAATTATAGATTTTTTTGTCAGCCTGAAAAAAAAATTTTAAAACGAAGAAAAGTTGACACAAACTTCAATTCATGATCTCAAACAAAAAATTGCAAAAAAATATCAGAAGGGAAGAAATATTATACTCTCATGCTAATTATTGGTTGGTCAGTACTACAATACGATGAAGAAAATTTTCCAGACCAAAGCGGCTTAACACTATTTGTAAGAGTCAATAGTTTTACACTTTCGCGGCTGGTGCTAGCAATTGCTAGGGGCAGTACAACAGTGCCGAAGTACAACAGTGCCGAAAATGAAAACTTTGTTCAACAGTGCCGAAAATGAAAACTTTGTTCAACAGTGCCCGAAAATTAGAACAAATTTCAACATATTAAGTGCGGCAATCAAAAATTAAACGGCGATCGTGTACAATCTTAAGTGACACTTAAAGATTTTGGGAGAGAAAAATTGCAATTTAGACGTTTTGGCGCCAAAATAATTGTTTAATTTGCTGTTGCAGACATTTTGGCGCCGAAATTGGAGTGGTTATCTTTGATAATTAGCGTCAGTAATTTCTCGCTCTTCAGAAAATGCGTGTAAATTATTCTGAAATTTTCCCACCTTTTTCGGCACTGTTGTACTTCGGCACTGTTGAACGCCCCCGTTGAAACAAAAATTGCTTAGAAAAAGCCGTTTCGGAAGATAAAAGATTGATCTTTGAAAAAGTGGGGTCAAGTTGCCGTCACCTTAAGCCTGCCCCTATATTTGTATGTAGTTTCAATAGAGTCCAACCTTAATTCGGGTTTTCCGGAATTTTCGATTTTTTCTTTTCGTTTTTAGGCTGTTTTTGTGAGTAGTCATTTTAATAATCGTGAAGCTGTTTGCTGCCTGAATGATAAGTATAAGTTTTCGTTACAAAATTAGTGCATTGGAAAACTGTTAAAGACCGCTCCTATCAGAGCCTTTTTGGTTTTTTATTATAAATAATCATTTTAAATAACTTAGTAAAAAATATAAATTTTTCAATAAAAAAAACTTTGAAAACACTTTGCTTGACAAAATTTACTCAACAACTATCCAATGCTCCATCAAAAATCTAGGCTTGAAATGATATGTTTCTATCCAAATGGAAATCTGAAAGACAGAAATCGTAAAGACTGATCGTATTCCCAGAAACTTAATCACGTATTCACGTAATCCAATTTTTGGGTAACCAACAAATTCGGTTAAGCCAACAATCATTTTATTTGCGCAGTAACATGCACCTTCTTTCAGCTTTTAGTTATATGGAGAAACGCGTCTCAACGTGAACTTCGTGAGTGTGCAATTTCGAAGAAAAAAGTGTGCATTCTCATAACAAATAGCGAAGAGCAGTTCTATCAATTCATAGATAGTCAGCAAGCTACCCCCGAAGAACAGTCCGAGAAGTCCACCGAGCGCACTCGTAGCCGAAAAGATTTCGTATTTGGCTCGGATTTCAGTGTGTTCGACTGTCATGTCCCCCATATTGATGCTCAACTCGGCGTAGTTCTTTCGCATGTAGTCGAAGGTTATGTTGGAGTCGGGTACCAGCCATCGGGAGTATTGGGTGATTCCCGGGTTGGGGAAACTGGTGACAGTCTTTTTGAAGTTGAAGCGCGTAAAGCTGCACTGGGGTTTGCATCTTTCCATACAAGTCCCTTAAATCAAGAGGATCTAATTTAGCTGCTGTCCTTGAGAATTCTGTTTTTTTTTTACAATTTTTTAAACTCTATAAGTCGTACGCAATTTCTTTTTTCTAAAAAAGTTTGAGACTAGGCGCTTGAGAAACAAGCCTAAGATAGTTAACAACTTCTGCATATTCAATCTTTCTCTGAAAATGGTGCAATGAAATTAAGCATCTTTTTTATCACCCCCTCCCCAGTGGTACCTATAGTTAAGAACAAGCAGACCATTAAAGGACAAACCCAGCGGTTAAGCACATGCAAATAAGGTATCTGGTAACACTAATATCGTGCCCGGGTGTAGGGGGGGGTTTAGGAGGAGAAGTTGAAAAGATTCGAAACTGATACTAATTAAAAATAGTGGGGCAAAGAACAAAAAACTATGGCCCAACTCATGATCTCTTCTTGTTTTCGTGGACACATGATCATGGTGATATGTCCGCACTCTAAAGAAGCCATCTTTTCGAGGAAGGTCTGAGTCATGTCTCTGCAGTTGCATAGCTCCAGCTCTATTTCCGAGTAGCATTCGCTCACGCACAGCATCTGAGCATACCCACGGTCGTAATACCGAAGAACTCTAGAACAAAGCGAGGGTCCTTCCTGCTATACGGTCCATAACTGATCATTCGCCATGTTGAAAATTGAATCAACACGCGGCTCATATCTGATTGGTTGATAATTCTAGCGGAAAATCAGGATTTCAAAAAAAAGCTCAACGAACAATTTGGTTGGTTTTTGTGTACCGTATAGCAAAAGATGCCCCGCAGAAATGACCATATCAAATTACACTGAATTTTGTTTTAGTCAGTTTCTCAGTTTCACATTAAGATGGGACTTGATAGTTGGAATTGCTAAAATACAATATGTATAACTGACAAAAGCTAACAAAAATTGTAAGTTTGGGGAATCTGCTTCAACTAAGAATTCCCTGATTATTCAAATCAAGGGGGGCCAAGATCGCTCAAATAATCGCTTACAATTTGCTCTTGCTCTTGTCGCTGTTACTTTCACTTCATCTTAAATTCAATCGAACACGCGTGGACAAAAAGAGACCGCAAAGCTATATTCAATCAACACACGTAACACATAAAGTAAATCAGGGTAATGAAATTATCAGGTAGTGACAAAATAATTTGCTAGAGCTCGTAATAAGGAATTTAACTCTGGTTTAATAAAATAACGATCTCACAGTTTAATTTAAGATGGGTTCTCCTAACTCGGTTGTCTCTTACGCAACCCACGAACTCAATCTCTAAAATTAACCGTTTTCTCAAGCTTCTAGAATAGGTTCCCACTACGATTCGTACCCAGATTAACAGTCAGGCTACACAAGCACTTAGTGTTAATCTCTCACGGCTTACGATCGGAACTACAATCTTTTCTCGGTTGTGGTTAATTTTTCTCTGTTCTAAAAGCCGCGTACCAATCACACCACAGGTATATCTATTTTTACACCGGTATAATTAAATATCCCCCCTCCCATATAAGTTCCGACATTCACTGCGGTGTATTCCACGGTCGTCATGTAAGCTAAAGGTTCCCTTAGATACACCAATTCTAAAGGCTAATCTCCCAGTGGCTATTCAGATCGTTTCAAGTAAATATTACGTTCACTTGAACCTCAGCTAAAGTTCGCGTTTAAATGGCAGCAATCCCAAGGTTTTTTTTTGGTTCATCCCACACATGTTTCTGCCCCCCACAGGTAAGGAACCCACAAATCCGCTTAAGTCCCTACTAATAGAAGTCCAAAATTTTTGAACTGTGATCTACTACAGTTTCAATCGCCTAGCTCTTAGGTAAAAGCCGTTCCCCCTCCTGGGGTCCGATCAAGCTAATAAACAACCCCCCAGAAACTAATAAATTATCCTGTCCCTCCCATATTACTCTGACGAATTAGCTCACATTCCTTCTGCACCTGTGCACAAATAGTTATGTGACACCACTTTGGCACCGTTTTCAAATATCTACTCCTAGTTCATTAGTCAAGCTATGGCTGACCCCAGTATTCACTAAGTCCCTTCTTGTTTATTCCAATATTCTATATTATTTTATAAAAGACAGGACTTTCTATTAACTCTTTCCGATCCCGTATCTAAGTTTTTTCTAGTCCCCAACCCATAAGTGAGTTCCGTTCTCGTCCACTTCCCCCCAGGATGTTCATAGGGAATCAGCACTGTCGCTAGGTACTTTTTCGTGTATTTCCGAGCCATTCTGCGAGTAACACTTCCGAGGGCCAATTAAGAGCCACCCCAGGGTCACCAGATGTCAAGCAAAGATCACTGAGCTCAGAGCCGGGTGGGGGTCCCACCTGCCAATTCCATCCATACCCGATTAATACTCCCCGAGTTATCACTTTTCAAAGGCTCATTATCATCTTTTCGGGGAATGGCTATTAACACCGGAATGAGCCAATGGAGAGGGTTTGTTCGGTAGACGTCTTTTTCCGAGGCTTGGGTATGCTACACATTAATGTCATAAAATCAATATGCCCTCGCTCATTATTTTTCGCAAATTGCCTATTTCCGGTCCCAGGGGTATTTTTCTCCAGTGCTAATAACTTCCGGTCGGACCGTCGGATTCGGTCCAAATTCAAACGCCATGCTTGTCTTAAAACTACCTAGCAACCCTCCAAGTTTCCGCTTCTTAGGGTCACCATGGGTCAAGAAATAACTTACAGAGGGTTTATTTGCACAGGTCATAAAACCGGAATTAGGGGTCTGAAGGGTCTGGGGTTTCAAACTTATGCTTGCCTCATCTAAGGCTTCCATATACTAATGTTTGGGTTCATTCCTATTGCTAGGTACCGAGTCCTAATAGGTCGGTTTGCACTTCCAGGAACCGTTACCACTGGGTCCCATGGGGTCAACCGAGTCCAGAGTTTTGCATGCCTGGGTCAAATCATCTTTAGTATGATCCGACCAATGGTTCCTCATCCGAGGAGGGGAGGGGGTAAGCACATTCTATCCCCCTTCAATTTTCCTCCAAAGACGGAACTAATTCATCAGAGCTTGGGCTATTTTCATCTTAGTGCTTTATTTACCTTTCTATTTGCCGAGTTGGCTAACCAATCTCACTAGCATACTATTTTAACAAGGTTATAAATCATACTGTAACAAAGAGATTTGAATTACCCCCTATGTTTTTCGGCTAAGTAGATAAGCGTCCTAGATTAAGTGAGGTGTGATCGAATTACTTTTTTTTCAATTCTACAAAGATTAAGAAATTTCACCAGTAGTTTGTATTCATTTATTCATTAGCGCCATTGAGAGAGCTTAACCCGAAAAATACCGACAATTTATCAGGCAGGTATAATGAAATTGATAAAAATAACAAGGTTTCTGCCGGTTTCTGTTCAAAAATAGCGGGTTTCAGTTCAATAACCATAAAGTCTTCTGACCCAGTGGTGGATCTAGGATTTTCTCGAGGGGGGAATTTTTTAGGTCGACCAAATTGATTTTTCGAGCTCTCCCAAAGCAAAAAAAATAATTCAAAAAAGAGGAAAAATGTTCATTTTTTGATTTGAAAAATTGTTTTCTGAAACCTCTCACTATGGTTAAGAGAGAGTGAAACAAGTAACAAACTACAAAATTTGTAGAACAATTGTTCTCAAAAAGACAGTTTTTTAGTTTCTGAATTATGGCTAGATTGATACCTCATTCGAGTGAGGTATTAATCTAACCTGTTGTCATATCCTACGCTATTCATGATGGATCAGTTAAACTTGATAAAGTGTTCACGCACAATAACAGTGGGTGAAATATACATTTCGAATATTGCATCATAATGAAATGCATTTTGTCGTCGGAGAATTTTGAAATCATAATCACTTTTGAAAATGAAAGTGGAGTTATGTAAATCAGATTTTGTTCACATGTTGCTGTTTCCGTTGGCTTAAAACTTAGCAATTATAAAACGTTCTAAAACATTGTATCCAACCCAGGGGTGGATCTAGGATTTTCTCGAGGGGGGGGCGGATTTTCAAAAAATTTCCAAAACTTTGACGATTTTTTTTTAGGTCGACCAAATTGATTTGTCGAGCTCTCCCAAAGCACTGTTTTGCCCCAGTTTTGGCAAAATTTTCTGCACCGCAGGCAAGTTTTTGAAAAAACAGTCAAAAAAGCCGTTTTTGGCCACTTTTTGAAAAATTTTGACAAAAAAATTGCGTTTTTTTTGGCGCGCGCTCCCCCTCAAAGTCAGTAAATATTTACAGTGCTAAAAAAATTGCGTTTGTTTTGGCGCGCGCTCCCCCTCAAAATTAGTAAATATCTACAGTGCTAATTTAAATTAACCGGACAAAACGAACAAATTTTGAAGTTTCAGTTGCATTTTTTTTAAATTGGGTTAAGATTAGACAAAAAATGAACAGAACAAGAGTTGCTTAGAACTTCAACATAATCAAAATGGCTCATTTTGATTTTTTTCAGTTAATCAAAAATTACGCTGAAACTGCTTTGTTAATTGACGAGAAATGTATATCACAAGAAGCCTCTTACACAGCCCAACAAAGTTCTAGAAAAATTGAATCTCTAAAAATCGGTGTAAGGGAAAATATTTTTGAGTGACAGTCAAGAAACGTGATTTCTACTATATAAAATCCAAAATCTAGCTTAAAAACTATTTTTAAACCATTTTCTCACATTTTTGGAGATTTAACCTTTTTGGATTTTTGTTGGGCTGTGTAAGAGACTTGTGATCTATATTTCTGATCAATTAACAAAGCAGTTTCAGCGTAATTTTTGATTAATCGAAAAAAACCAAAATGACCCATTTTTGGGGGAAAATTTTGGTCGAGAATTTCGGAGAAAAAATTGAACCATATTAATTGAATCTGAGGAACTTTTCCAACTTTTGTTCTCTTCATTTTTTGTCTAATCGTAACCAATGTGAAAAAAACGCGTATGAAATTTTAAAAATTATTCGTTTTTTTTTTTCGGTTAATTTAACCCAGCACTGTATAAATCGCTCGCAATTGATGTTTAAAATTGTGCAGAGTTTTTGAAACAAACTGTACAGTTGCATTTTTTAATGTAGAGAACGAAGAAGACTGCACGTATATCAGGGCAAAGCCATGAATGTTCTGACTGTCCGTTAATTCATATCGAATAGTTTTTGCCAAAAGAAAATTATGAAAATCTATAAATTTTGGACAAATAAACAAGTGTGAAATGTTGAGTCCTAAAAAATTAATACGATCGATCCGATGAACTAGCCTCATATCGTTTTGGAAAAATCTTGTTGGGCGGGATAATTTGCCACGCATAAATAATTCGGGTCACGCTCTCAGCGATATGAATGAATTCTTCAAAGCGCGCATAATTTAGTCCAGAAAACGGCCAATTTGGCAATTTTCGAACCCCCAGAACCTTACAAAAAATCGGCGGAGGTAAAATATCTGTTTACGTTTGAACTCAGGAAGTCGACATCTTCAATGGGATGTAAAAATGTTTGTTGAAAACTATTATTTCGATCGGCGAAAATTGACTGAAGAAAAAAAACCACACCGAGCATAAATATTCCGTTTTCTTCGAAAGTCGGAACAATAATCGAGGTTGGCTTTAATGAAGTTGTGAAAGGAGACGTCTTTTTCACTTAGTTTCAACTGATCCATCATAGATAGCATAAGAGATGAGGACAGCAACTAGATGGTTCGCGTGATCTTGAAATGTACACTGAAAAGAAATATTTCCTTCAGATTTTTTTCTGAGCTGAATTGAGCGTTTTTGAGACATACTTGATAAAAGGATAGGATCTTGTTAAGTATCCCCCCACTATGGTACCTTGTAACGAATATCCCCCCTACTATAAAGGAAGAATTGAACAGTTAAGCAAGAACGAATTTTGTACCTTGTTAACTATCCACCCTATTGCAATAGGGGGGAAATAGTTAACAAGATCCAAAGGATATTTATAAACTATTTATCAGTAAGAAGTCCATAAAGCAAAACATTCATGCAGGAAAATACTTTAAAAAAATTTTTCAGTGTGAAAAAACAATAAAAACAATAAAAACTAATATATTAAAAGTCTTAATCGCTTAAAAATCTTTATATCTTGGATCCAGATTTCGATATAAATAAACTAACCTATTGCTTGATTATCAAGTTTTCAAAATATATAAACCATATCCGCACTGACAAAAATGGTTTTCGGTCGATTTAAATTGATTTTAATTTGATTTTAAATCGATCCAAATCGATTAACAATGTACAGTTTACGAACTGAAATGGATTTCAAATCGATTGAAATTGATGTTTCTTGAAAATTTTGAAAATTTTGGATCGACTTAAGTGTTTAAAAATTGACTTAAATTGATTTGGATAGATTTTCCGACTCATTAAAATCCATCCGAATCTCACTAAAATCCATCCGATGCTCACTTAAATCCATCAGAATCTCACCTAAATCCATTTTAAATCGATTTAAATTGATCTATCTTGAAAATTTTGGATCGGCTTAAGTGTCTAAAAAACCGATTCAAATCGATTTGAATGTATTTTCCGACTCACAAAAGTCCATCCGAATTTCACTAAAATCCATTTGAATCTCACTTAAATCCATCAGAATCTCATTTAAATCCATTTTGAATCGATTTAAATTGATCTTTCTTGAGAATTTTGGATCAGCAGCTTAAGTGTCTAAAAAACCGATTCAAATCGATTTGAATGTATTTTCTGACTCACAAAAGTCCATCCGAATTTCACTAAAATCCATTTGAATCTCACTTAAATCCATCAGAATCTCATTTAAATCCATTTTGAATCAATTTAAATTGATCTTTCTTGAGAATTTTGGATCAGCAGCTTAAGTGTCTAAAAAACCGATTTAAATCGATTTGGATGGATGTTCCAACTCACAAAAATCCATCCGAATTTCACTAAAATTCATTTGAATCTCACTAAAATCCATCCGAATCTCACTTAAATCCATCAGAATCTCACTTGAATCCATTTTAAATCAATTTAAATCGATCTTTCTTGAAAATTTTGGATTGACTTAATTGTCTAAAAAGCCGATTTAAATCGATTTGGATGGAAGTTCCGACTCACAAAAATCCATCCGAATTTCACTAAAATCCATCCTAGTCTCACTTAAATCCATCAGAATCTCACTTAAATTCATTTTAAATCGATTTAAACTGATCTTTCTTGAGAATTTTGGATCAGCAGCTTAAGTGTCTAAAAAACCGATTTAAATCGATTTGGATGGATGTTCCAACTCACAAAAATCCATCCGAATGTCACTAAAATTCATTTGAATCTCACTTAAATCCATTAGAATCTCACTTAAATCCATTTTAAATCAATTTAAATCGATCTTTCTTCAAAACTTTGGATCAGTTTAAGTGTCTAAAAACTCAATTCAAACCAATTTGGATGGATTTTCCGACACACTAAAGTCGATTTTTTTGCTAACTCAAATCAGAGAATTAAAAACTGCTATTGTTCGATTGACAGCAAATCTAAAAAATTGCTGAAGACACAATTTTTCTTGTTCAAAAACTGGCGCTACAAGCTTCTTTCCACTGAGAAGTGGGGTGTTTTCAGTTTATGTAAAAACAAGGTAAGCAACCGTGCAACAAACACTTAGTTCAGTAGTTTTATAGTTTAAGCATCAACAAAAAACTGCTTAAAAGTTAGACTATTCTGTGACTGATGAAAAGATTTTTAAACAAATAGCATTAAAATGGAAAGATTTAAACGCAACTTTCAATTTAAAGGTTAGAAAAAAAAACATTTTCTAGGGGCTACAATAAATCAATTGTGTTATATGGCACTTATAGATACAAACGACATAAACAAACTAAAAATGTTGCAATTAAAAAGTTAACTGGTCTTGGTTAAAAAATTTAGAAATGCCTTGCAAATCTGCTCTGGTGCTTGCTCAAAATTTAACTTAGTGTTTCAGTCCGTTTGTTGTAAAAAAAACTTAGTTTTTATCTGTTCTCATTGTATAGGGTCTGTAACCAAAGCAAACTTAACGAATCCCTGTGATATGTGTTTGTTTTTGGTGAGTAATTTTGTGAATTACATATTTTTATGCACTGTTCTAATTTTCCGACTAAAACCTAAACAGGACTGCTCGTTTCAGGGTGAATCACTGAACGTTTCGACTGCCTTTCAATGTCTACAGAGCAGTAATATAATGAAAAAATTAAATGTAATAAAATAAAACATATATTTGTTTTTTAATTTTAAGTTTTTTTGCAAGAATCATTACCCCACACGCCATGCAAATCACATTGTGACAGATTTCGCTCCTGGTAACAAATCAATAATGGTAAAGAAGCTTCACCGCCCTGATAAAACTGCAAGTTTGATTAAACAAAACGTGAAAAAGCAAACATTCAAACAGCATTCTTTTACATGGGGCATGCTAAGCGGCCCTATGCTAATAAGCCAGTTGGCCAAAATGGCCAAAATGATGTCCAAAATGGCCAAAATGGCAATCTTTAAACCCCACCTTTTTTAAAACCCCCAGAGTATTTTTTTCAGATTTAATCCCAAAACACCAATACCTCTTGAATGACATAAAATAACTCCCTCAAAAGTGGCCAAAGTAGTTTGCGTACTCGAATATCAGGTTTTTTGGAATGGTAGAATTTTTAAAATATATAACCCAAGGTTTAGTTTTGTGGCCATTTTTGTTTGTTCTACGTAAAGATTCTATTAGGTCAGCCTGCAGCATTCACTCTCATAGAAAATAGTGCTTTAGTTCTCGCTCAGAACTTAGCTTCTTAACTAGAAACCAGTAGCAGTATCAAAATGTTAAAAATTTATCAATTGGTGTGATGATTAAAAACTGTTAAAAAGGAGTTGAAAATGCAAACTGACCAGTTTTGCAGAGTCCAAAATTTATTTGGTGTGTATGAGCTTCGTTTTTCTAAAATATCATGGGTCGAACTAAGATTTTCTCGAGAGAGGGCGTCGGATTTTCAAAAAATTTCGAAATTCACCGACCTTTTTTTCTTTTTAGATCGACAAAATTGATTTTCCGAACTCTCACGAATCCATATAAAGATCTTATTTTGACCTAATTTTCTGCTCCGCAGGCGAAAAATTGAACAGGCCAAAAAAGGCAATTTGAGTACTTTTTGGAAAAAATTGATCAAAAAGTTGCGCTTTTTCAGCACTCGCTTCCCCCTCAAATTTAGTATGTATTGGGGCTGAATTCCCCTTTGGAAAAAATAGGGTCCGTCAGCCAAAAATGGAGATCTTAAAATAGTACAAAGGGGGACCCTTTAAGTCGGCAGGCGGTCGAATCTCTGAGGAGGGATTCGACCCCGTGGAGAAGGCGAACTCTCCAAAACATTTTCAAAACTCTTCCCAACTGTTTTTTTTTCTCTCCCAAAATATTTCAGAGAAAATGCGATTTCTCTTCCAAAATGCGTTTTTTACCCAAATAGTTTTTTCGGCCCAAAATGTTTACTCTTGAATATTCGCTGCTGTCGCACACAAATTCCATCTATAGCAAAATATGATCGCTGAAAATAACTTACATTATCTACTTTTCGCTCAAAAATCTCTTTTTTAATTTTTCATAAGAATTGTTTTTCACTTTTATAGTTATTGTTACAAGTATTTTTTAAACAACTAGTAATGGTATATACAAATACCCCAACTCTCCCTCTTGCACGCAGTCGTTGAACCCAGACAAGTCGCGGAATTGCTTGGTAGACAGCGCCACATGCCAACTCTTGCCTGGTCCTATCTCGAAGGAGTAACTCTTGTCCCAAGCAGTTAGAATTGTAGTGTCTGGCTCAAAGATGAACACCTTCAAACTCACCCCTCCCCCTATCTGGTATGTGGGAACTGCTTGGTAAGTCTCCGCATCTGAAATTCTGATAATAATCATCTTGGTCAAAAAATCATTAGTCATTAGGTGCTGGCATCCAGATTACCATTTACCGGTACCCATCAGCGACGGGTTTAACGTCACGAGATAGCGAACCCACACCCCGAGTTCGATAGTCGATCGTTCCTTTGTGGAAGGGTTTGGTATTATTCTTACAATTTTTAGTTAGGTAAAAATCTACCCTATATTTGAGAAGCTACGTCATGATCTAAAACAACAATGGTGTTATCAGGTCATAGTGCTGAAGTTTAAAATTCCGGTGCTGAACTTTTGACGTAATATGATGTATATCTAATGTGAATAGATTATAATGTATAGCTAAAATGATTTTAAATAGCCATATGCTATTTAATTTACAAAGTCACATATTTTGCATAGCTAAAGTATCAATTAGATGTTTCCAAAACCTTATCTCAAAAAACTCAAAAGGTTTTTGAGTCGCATTGGCTTGCCACTGACGCATTAGTAGAACGTGTTTTTCGTCAAACTTCAAGCAAGATCAGCTCAACTAACTTTACTTTAAGCTTTACTTTGCTCCATGAGCTTTCTATATATCTTTAATAATTGATTGAGGGGTAGAGAAGTAAGTTTTCCTAACTCTACTGTTTATGTCACGAGTATTTGATAGTAGTATTGCGATATAAGACCTCTAAAAAGTTGAATCGCTCTAGAAGCAAACTTTTACTCGTTTTTTAGAACTAAACGAATATAAACTCGAATCAATCAAGTTATTCAAATGAAAAAATCTCCGTCAGAACAAACTACCTTTTTTTGGCTCTTGGTTTATCCAATTTTTTTCTTTCAATTCGTTCAAAAAACAACTGTTTTAGTTATTACAGTTTGATAGTCATTTATTTTTTCGAGGCAGATTGCCACCCACAATGTTGATTGCTTCGTCAAAAAAGGTAGAATCTAGAATAGGGCTAAGGTGTTTGCCCTAGTTTAGACAAATACATGACCCCACATCTAAAGTATTTGTAAGCCATTGGCATCCGAAGCTCGTTTTTGGCATCATTTGTATACTTCTCGCGTGATGTACAAAAAAGCGACAGAGCAAAATAAAATTTTGCGTTTCTGTAGATTGCTGAACTATTCAAAGTTGATTAGCGAGTGCAAAAAAACTTGTGAAAAATTGACAGCTATTGGAAACCGCAAATCTTTTGTTGTCACAAACTTTTTTTACGTTTTTTTTTTTTTTTGGAACTTTGAGGTGCATCCTATTATTTTCAAATAATTTTTTTTTAGATGTGCTCGCAATTTTAACCTTAGCGCAGTGCCGTTTCGCTTTATTTTGGAGATTGCCAAAAACTGACGTGCATTTAAAATTTTCTTCAGTTAATCCTTGTGTTGTAGTACCATTTCTGTGCATATTATTACGTCATAATCATTTCAGCCATTTATTTAAGTTTGGAGTTCAAGGTAGTTGACGACCTGCGGTTCAGTTACTGCTGAATTTACTATTCACTCTTTGTCAACTTATGTAAAATTTAAGTTGATATAATTTGATTGTCATGACACTATTTATTTATTTTACTTATTTTCAAATTTGTATCCTTAAGATGAATTAAGTCTTGGTAAGTTTTATTTGACTCGCAAGAGATTCAACATGGCGCAGCCAGCAGGTCTGCTAGCGGAAGACCGGACTAACTCAGTAGGTGTACCAATATTCTGGAACAAGCCGACGTCCGAGCCGCCAAGCAGCTGGGATTCATGGATCGGACATTTCAATCTTGCCATCACGTTACGGGAGAGATGTGACCCCCGAGAATTATCAAAACCGCCGCGTCGTCTTGAGTAGTTCACGACGACCCGGTCCCAATTTCGGAAGCTGTCGGCACTAGTGAGGATGAGACTGCGACCGCCAATCGCATTGCAAGGGACGCGGCAGCAGTTCGCAGGGTCACTGTATTCTACTATTCAAGAAAGACAATAACTATATCATCGAACGTCTACAAATTTTTAACGCGGTCTATGCTGATCGTGAGTGTCTCGAAGCCTTTTTATTACGTCTATCGGTTCAAGCGGCCCTGTGTGGTTGGACAGTAGCACAAAAGATAGAAGTACTGAGGGTTACTTTTATTGCCAACATGCGCTATAAAGACATCCAACGGGAATTGTGTATTCGTCCCGGCAAAAATCCAGAAGTAACAGGAAAGTGGTGCTTAAATAGCCTCCAGTTTGCAAAAACAACTGGAAATTCTTCAGTAGCGGGCAGCACGTCCCATCATGCGCCAAGTTCTGCCCAGAGCTTCCGGATTAAACAAGAACCTACCTACTCGGTTCATAGTAAGAAAATATCGGACAGGATCAATCGAGACCAGTCAAACTACAATCGACCCAAAGGCGATAACAACCCCAAAGATGTAAAACCCTTTTACTTCTTTGGGATTAAATTCGCAGCAACTCATGAATAAAGTTGTCCAGCTAGAAATGTAACGTGTAGGAAATGCAGTAAAAAGTTGTCATTTTGCGACATGTTGCAATTCTAAAAGCATCGCTAATGTGGATGCTGAGTCGGACGAAACAACTGGGGAGGGTTGCAACTTCATTACATCTGTCAATGAATCAGAGTTTGCGGTGCTTGTTGTCAACGGGGTTTCCCAGCCCAAAAACAAAGTTACCTCTATCACAGCCTCAGTAAAGAATTTGGAAGTAATAAATGCGGCTAGAGGAAAAATACCACCGGTACAATCCAACTTCTTTAAAGCCACTGTTCATACGGGCAGTCCAGCTTCTTTTGTGAATAAACGAAAAGCGGAGTATATCGTAAAATCAGTGTCTTCAGCTGTTGTACTAGATGAGAAGGAATGCCCGATAGATACGGTATACGTTGACAATATTCGGAAATGTATCGAACTTTTTGGCACGCTGTGAGTCGACATGACATCTTTGGGTGGGAAACTAAAGTCAGCAAAATTCCTCGTTCCGGAGAACTGAACCCGTTGTCTGCTCGGCTTAGACCATCAAACTCAGTTGGGGGTCCGGAAGACACAAGTAAGGCCACCCAGCCCACTGGTCGGCATAATCTTCCAGTCGGAACAAGTACAAAATCAGAAATCTGGAGATCGCACTATAAAAAGAAGTTTGTCATGTAAGAACCATCAAGTGATTTCCACATATAACTTGTTTTTTATATCAATTCAAGAGAAAGGCAGGCGGGTTCCGGTTCGTATTCATGAGAAGGTCGGAGAAGAATTTTGTAAACTCATTCAAGATGGTCATATCGTAGAACTTAATAAGTGCACTAGCCAACCAATTGTTATAACTGCAGAAAAAGATGGAACAATTAAACATGCAATGGATGCAAAAGCCATGAATGACCAAATTCCTAAAAATCAGTATCAGATGTCAAACGTGTTGGAGTTGTTGGACTCGGCTGCTGAGATCATTATGTCAAATAAGAGTGGAGAAGTTTGGTTCACGTCGTTAGATCTGAAATGCGCGTTTAGCCAAAGTCAATTGAGTGACGCAGTTAGTAGTCATTGTTGTTTCAATACTGTGCGTGGAGAACAGACGCACACTTCTTGTTTCAAGACAAGCTTTTATAGGTTTACCGATTTGCCCAAAAAAATTCAAAAGGGTATGGATAAAACTCCTCGGGGTTTGTCTGGAGTTTTCTGCTTTTTGGGCGACATTCTGCTTGTCTCTAAGGGTTCAGTGGTCGAGCACGATAGCCTTGTGGAGAAGGTTTTCATCAGGCTAGAGGGGTAAGAGTTTGCCCTCAAATTATCAAAATCAAATTTTCATTAGATCATCCGTCTTGGTTGGGGTTTGACATCGAGTCCGAAAGTTATCGACCAAACCGCTCAAAGATTGATACTGTATTGACTCTCGAACCTCCACGGACGTTAAAGCAACTCATGGGTATCCTTAATCACTTGCAAAGATTTTTGCCCAACACTCAGTTCCATTCGGACCAACTCCGTCCATTGTTAAAGGCAAGTAAGAGGAACAAGTTCGTTTGGGGTGAATCACAGCAATCCGCGTTCAACAACATTCTCAAACTTATCGGTAATATTACGAAAATGTACCACTAGGATCAGAATTGTAAGACCAGGATTAAGTGCGATGCCAGTCATGGTGGTTTGGGAGTGGCTCTCGAACAAGAGATAGAAGAAGATGTATTGCCGCCAATAGCTTTTGCTTCCCGGTTATCAACGACCAGGAAAAGAAATATAGCATGAACGAACTAGAATTACTTTTCATCGTTTAGTCCTGTGAGTATTTCCGCAAATACTTGTTTGGTAAACACTTCGAAGTTTTAACAGACCATAAAGCGATAATTTCGGCATTAAATACCAATAGGCGTATCAAGACCCATCCATCCAGATTAACCCATTGTGCATATTAATGATTGCCATTCGACTTCGACGTTATTCAAATCGCTGGATGCAAATTGGGAATAGTCGATTATTTATCTCGTTTTCCAACGTTTGAAGCGCTCTTACCAAATAGGTTCGACGAGCATTACATGATTAAATGTATTAGCCTATTCTTCGATGCGTGTAATTTCCTGGACCGCTGCGTTCAAAAGTTTCCAGCTACAAACGAACCGGGGTATGATTCGAAAAATCCGGGGTGTTGTCTAATCCTTAAAAAAACCACATTCATAATTCACTCACTACCGTTGTTTCAATTTCTCTGTTTAATCAATTCTCTGATTGGGGTGCATCACCCAAGCGTTAAAAAGCGACCAATCAAATGTCGGTTTTGGTTGGGTTAGTCGACCGCTAGAGGGCGGCAATTCCCATGTCAACCGTTCGTCTGCTGATTGCAATAGTACGCAACTTCAGTCGCCCTAAGAGGAACTCTGACACCAACTTTGACCAATCAGAGCACTACCAAAAACGCCTGGGCTCATCGCAAGAGGGCGGCCTAATTTATGTACAATCACTTAACCGATCACAGTTCAGCTTGCTTATTTTATTCACAGATGTCATTTTCTCAGCACGTTTTCGAAATCACATGACATTCTGGAATTTTAACTTTGTACTGACCACAGCTTTCATTTTGCTGACGTTGCTCAACTTTAGATTTTCTAGTTGTTTAGTTACCAGCTCTCCTACTTGAGTCTGTTGGGGATCGGTGTTCATTATTCTCAAATTTTTTCAAAGTATCATGAACCAGTCACGTGACGACAGTTTTGAACGGCTGCTCAATCAATTTTCACCTCTCAGCCGGCCTTGGTTCTCATCGGACTGATCGAGACAAAGGGTTCGCTCAGGAGCAGTCCGTCCGAAAAGGAAGACTTCGGCCCAAAGAGGAGAGGTACTATAGGGTCAATACGCCCGCAATCTCGCTAACTTTCATTTGCGCAGGTTGCGAAAGTCTCGTCCAGCAAGTCGTCCGCAAGAGCAATTACTTAGTTTAGATATCCTCAAGCCATCAATCGTCGCTCCAGATTGAAAATCGCTGTCGGTTTTAGTGGGTATCTTTGATGTGGACGTGTTGTCAGAGCTTACAGACGAAGATCCTAGCCTTTGTTTGATGAAACGGGCTCTGAGAAACAATGGCTATAAAGGTATCAGCGGGATCGACCCGTATCTGAAATCGTTCTGGCAGTGATCAGCAGTAGTGGACGGTTCTATTGTAGTGGACAATCGTATTGCTATTCCAAATGTTCTACAGAAACCGATTCTGGCTCGACTTCTGAGGTCGCATGCGGGACAACGTGCCATGGTGGACGCGGCTCAAAATATCTGGTGGCCCCGGATGCACCGGAACATTATGCAACTATGGAAAGATTGCCCGCAGTGTACTAAATTTGGTCAGGACATTCAACTCATCTCAGCTTCTACCACAGTTGTAAGGGCCGAATGAGGAACTCCAGCTAGATTACGCTGGTCCTCTGCCGGATCATTCAGGTAATCAAATTTACATCTTGGTCGCAATTGACCGATACTCCTAGTATCCGTCATCTAAGATCACCCGATCCACCAGGGGTATAAAAAATATTAAATTTGTTCTCTGCACCAGTCATTCACAACGTAGATATGTCATTGATGGTTTTTTCTACACAAAAACAGTTTTTGCTTCGTTGAGTGTTCTTGCTCAGTAATAACAGATGCCAGCAATTGTTACTTACACATCTATTTTCCTCTGCTTTTTTGCCGAATCAGCGAGTTGAGTTTTGTCCTTCAGGTTAAGTGGTAGCTGAAGATAAATCTTTGCTATGTCTCCAGTTGGTCTAATCGGGTTGCATCGGAACCTCAGCATGTAATCAAACAAATAATCTTGAAAGCTATTGGTGTCTTTATGGCGAAAAAGTTTTGTTTGTTCGTAGTTATTTATAAGAGTAGAGTAGATAATAACTTATTTTTTCTCTAATTTTGCAAGCTCATCTAGGGGTACAGATTTAAGGTTCCCATTTTAGGTTTCATTCTTTGATGAAACCTGGGTGCTGATTGTACAGAGCAAAAATAACTTTGATGGCATTAGTTTTGCTTTCCCCAGGGTTCCATAATTTGTCTTAGAAGTCAAAATACCGAAGCATTGCCTGTCTTCTTTGATTTTGTTTTTTCCTTAAAAAAGATTTTCACCATTTTTGTAAGTTTCATCAAGGGCCAAAGGCATGCGTCCGGTAGAAAAAAAGACTGATGTATTGATTTGACTCCTGATTGAAAAAAAACATGTTATGAAAGCTTTTTTGCTAGTTCTCTTACTAAGACACTGAGCTGATGCATTCACACTAACCAAAAGTCTATTCATCTGGAGTGAAAAACTCTTTCGTATCCGTTTTCTAATTGTGAACTCATTTGCTAATTTATTGTCACAAAAAACGTTTGTTGTAAATTGATGGGTTTTGCCTGCAAGTTCGGAAATGGCTTTAAATTTGATTAAGAATTCAGCCATAATGAAAGTTTATTTTCTCTACTCAATGATTTTTTTCTATATTACGAACGACTCGACTTTATCATTTGTTTTTAATTTCGGCTAAAGAGCAATTTAGTCTAAGGAGTTTCGGTGAACTCCGAAATGTGTTCGACCCACGTCGGTCACAACATAAATCGCAAGCCTCAAACCGAGTAGTTTTTGACTCTTAAAAAATGTCAAGAGTGTTTGGAATGAAAATTAAGGTCGTGCTCTAAAACATGCCTAAGTAAGATAAAGTTGCAAACTTTGCCATCCCGATCATCAAAACTTTGAGAAAACTTTGGTAATGAAAAACATGAACTGTTGTTCTAACCCAAAATTAGCTGTAGTTTTTCTTCTGAAAGGGACACCTCCCTGTCGGGCAGAACAAGTTGTCGACAGAGCCCAATTCTGGTCATTACCGTCACCCAAAATCGGTCTTCCAGACAGTTCTGTCCTTTCCAGCGGCAGAACTTGACCATTTCAGTCCTACTGGCCGACAATGCCTCCAGCAAGATATCATAGCTCACGAGGTCCATCTGGTTGTCAACAAAACCAGGCTGGTAGTAGCGCATAAGCCATTCCTGCTCCAATTTGTCTCCCGTTTTACGAGCAATTACACATTTTTTTTACTTCTCATCTTATGCCTTTAATTTGAGCTCCAAAAATTCTTCTCGAAATCCCGTTTTCCAGCTTAATTTTGCAGTTGACTCTTCTCTTTATCAATCAAAACTTAATACTGTCTTCAATTAGTTATATTAAGATCAACCGCCAAGCAGCAAATACATATAAGATCTTAGCATTTTTTATGAAACGTGAAAAAAAATATACCGAAATTGGAAATTATGAATTTCGGATTTTTTCCATTCTTTTCGTGATCTGTCAAGTTTTTCGTGTTCTGCGTAATCAATTTAATGCTAAGGAATGTTGAAAGTTGCATTCCTACAGGTTGCACTGTAATGAGTAACGCTTATTGTGGGCTAAAAGGACCTCTTCAGGAGGATATTTGTTACTAAAACTCGCATATTTGTCTAAAACTCGCAATGCTTAACCGTTGAATTATTCAATTATCGGAGGGTGGAAATTTGTTACTAGGAACCGAATGGGGGAAATAGTTAAAGAGATCCGTTTTAAACTTCCCCAAAATTATGAAAAACATAATTTACAATTGAAAATTGGCATTTTGAGGTGCTTCTAACGTTTAAACTTTAGCAGGAAGTCCTTTCGGCTGAAGGTTCCGTCTGTTGTCCTAGACCTGCGAGAACTTGCTAATTTTGAAAGTTTTTCAAAATTGTTTCACACGCAAAATCAGGTACCACAAATAATGACCCGACTGGGTTGATTGATATACCATATCAAAGCCCTTTCAGGCGTTTTTTGCTTTTTTGCCCCTTTTTTTGTTTTTTGTTTTCCACGCAAAATCAGGTACCACAAAAAATTATTGGACTGGATTTAGTGATAAATCATATAGAAGCCCTTGCAGTCGTAAATCAAAAAACTTTTTAAAATTTCAAAAAATTTTCCCAGTCCCTGGTTTGAAAATTTTGATTATTCGTCTTATTTCGAGCGACAAAAGCGAGCGAGAAATCTTACTTTAATAGCTTGAAATCTTACATTAGCTTAATTTCAAATGTAAAAACTTAGTTTAACGTGGGTAACAGTGGTTTTTTTTTAAAAAATTTTTACTACCCTTTCAAAAAATAACTGCAAAAAAATGAGAAAAAAATTGTTTTTAACTTTGTTCATTTTGCAATATTTGTCGAATATATCTAATCCTCAGTTTTTTGTTCAGCTCCTTTTATCACACCACGCCGAAACAAAACGACAATAACCATCACGAGGCCAAACTGTTTATTCTGTGCATTGTTAACGGACTCCGCAACCGGCCAAAATCAGATTTTCCACGCAATCCGCAACACTGCTAATTTTCTTTTTTATCTTCATTGCTGTTTTGGATCCCACAAAGAAAAACCTAAAACACAGTGCCGCTCAAGGCCGTTCTAAAATAGGCAAAGATACACTTTTTGCGGAATATGAATCACTTTATGGAATCCACAAACTAATATTACTACATCTGTATAGTTAAAACGAGCGGTTGCACAATCCGCAATCATGAGCAAATCTTGCAAATTGTAAGTAGACTCCGCAAATTGTAAGTAGAATCCGCAAACTGTAAGTGGAATACGTATAATGTTTGCGGATTCCACTTACACATTTGTCTAAATGAGGTAGCGTTTCAAATTATTGCTGGGAGGTAACCCGCAAGTTCAATCTCAATTATCAAATTGATCAGCTACAACTTAAACTGACAAACGTTCGATCTCAATTCCTGTCCCTAACTTTGATCTCAGTTCCTGTCAAACACCCAACTTCGATCTCAGTTCCTTCATCATCAATTCATATTTTTTCCTCATCAAACCAGCGCATACTTTTTGCCGCAGAACCTGAAAGCTAGTCAGATCTAATTGAGAGAATATAAGCACCAGGAAACCATCCAGATAAAAATTGTCTCCTAGTCGAGTTTAAAAGCAGACTAGTTCAAAAATTTTGTTTCTTACCACTAGCCAGAAAGATATTTGAACACACAAAAATCCAGGAAAAAATTACACTTTTGCCCAAACAAAATTTTGAAGTTCGAGAAAACTATATGGCTCAATGAACTAGTCCAGTGGCAAAACCACGTACACCTAAGGCTTGACTCGAGACCCCCAAAATGCACCACAAAATTCTATAGAAAATAGCAAAGAGCCAAAAATCTCCAGATAACAGAAACGCTAGCAAAAGTTTAGAATGGAACGACCATCATATCAAAACACGAGCTAGTTCATGCGTAAACTTTACAAAGACTTTTTAGTTCACATGCCTAGCGAACTTAACAATTTTTTTGGACAACGAACCTAATTTTTTTAAGGAGTGGGGCAAAAGAAACAAAAGTTCAAAGTTTAGAAAAATTTCAGTTTTTCAATTAATTTTTTGCTGGCCTTTATCTATCTATTCAAGTATAATTGTGACAGGCTTAATTTTACAAATGAATGAATTCAGGTGTATGCTTATTTGAACCATGCTAAAAAAAGAAAATTTTAAACAGCATCAACTTATACTTTAAGGACTCATTAAGAACTTAATATTGAACAAAAACAAAGTTTGGGGACACTCTGACAAACCAACCACGTATCAAAAACTGAATAGATCAACTACCAATTTTAAAATTTTGAAGTATTTGAAAACGATTGTTTTTTTTTAAAAAATTATTTTGTCAAAAAATTCCGTGTCATCTTTTTATACGCTAGAAATAATTACCTGTGGCAATCATTGAAAAACAAAAAAGTAGCTTTGTAACAATGCTGTTCTGAAAATTTGCGGAGCAGAAAAACACCACAGCGAACAGCAAAAAACACCATACAAATAAGTTCAAAGCAAAAAAAAAATTTAAAAACAAAAATTTTTTGATCATATAACTCAGACATTTCCATACACCCAATTTAATTTTTTTGAGGAAGTGTCAACAGTTAATTAGGACGAAAAGACAGTTTTTTTAAAGTTAGATTGTTATAAGTTTAAACACTACTCTTCAAAAATAAAAGAAGTTCTTGTAATAAAAAAGTATATTTGTTATCGGAAATGCCAATAATTTGGTCATAGGTACAATTTGGCAAAATAGGATCCCTCCACTGTACTTTTACGAACTTTGTTACCGGTCCGTCTATCTTCTCCATTTTCAAAGACTTTTCTATTGGTCTTTTTGCCTATTTCTCGCTCATTTAACTCCGACAAATCCGGTAGTTAACTCATTAAACATAATAGCAAGGTTTGCAAGGTCACTGAATCAATCGTATTGATGATATTGTTCCTTCGTTATTACTTGCGTTATTGTTTTTTTTTTTCAAACAGGGTGGCCGAGTGGTTAATGCTATGAACAAATCATCCAAACTTTTTTCATGCGAGGGTTCGAAACCGATCTGTATTTAAGTTTTTTTCAGTGAAAACAGTTTAGTTTTCGAATTCTCCAAACAAAACTTTTCAAAAGTTGTCACAAAACTTTTGCAAATTAAAATGACATTTTTTGTATAAATTGTACTCTACACATATTAAATGTACTACTATCAAAAAGTGGTCCATTTGAAAAAACCAGGTCCCTTGTGAATATGACTTTAGACCTCTAAACTTTTTAAATAATTATGAGTTAACCATTCCGAAAAATGTCGCAACATATTTTCAAACTTTTTTTTATTCGTGACTTCTAAAACCTCCCATCTCACCGGTTTATGAGGTAGATCCTTAAAAAAAAACGCCAAAATTCAATTTCATGATACCAAATAAGTTAAACTTATTATGGTTGTTAACTCGTAAAATAAATTGAGGCGAGTATAATTTAACAATTTAACTATTAAAGTTTTTAATCTGAAAATTTTTTTTTGCGAGATTTTTCAAATAGAAATTATCAATTTAACTTTTACAGTTTTTAATCTGAAAAGTTTTTTTGCAAGATTTTTCAAATAAAAAGTAGTTTACCCACAAATAAGTGTTCAATTTCTGACATATTATACGAATGTGAGACCTATCTATTTTAAGTGCTTTTTCGAGGGACCACAATATCTTAGTAGCAACCATGGTGTACGCTGGGTGTGCTTTCATCCCACTTCAAATACTGCCCTCATGATTTGATTTCACTCTCGAATCATCTGAAATACTGCCCCCTGATTTGAAGTCACTCTATCATCTCGTCCAAAACGCTGTCTTTCGGATTTTAACTCACTATCCCCCAAATATATCAGTATATGGGGTTGATGCAATCCCAAGAACTGACCTAATTCAGCGGTGTGCAGTTCGTTGTGTTTTCAAACGCTCTCAGCCCATTAAATCCAAATAATGAACGTTTTCGGTGTTGTCTTTCCAATACTTTGATTGCACAAATTGCTTGCTGGGATATCTATCCCAAAAACTAAAGAATGAACTTTACCAGTTTAGTGTTTTAAAATTTGTTCACAGATTCCGCTGATAATGGTTAGTTCCTTGCTTTTAAATTCTAGCTCTAGTTAATTGTTCATATGCAAGTGATTTATACACAAATATCGAAGTAAAATTAATGCAAAAAACTAACTCATATATAATTATGGTAACAAACAATATACGAAATATTACAGTTTGGGTATCTGATTACATTTGCGAATTCCGCCTACAAATTTTGCGGATTCACGTACATTTGCGGATATCACTTACGTTTTGCAGAATCCACTCACAGTTGCGGAATCCAGAACAACTGTTATCGATTGTTGCGGAATCCGCGACACAACAAATGTGCCGACAAAACCTAGGTTAGAGATATTTGCCCGCCGAGTCCGCGCAAAAGTGTGTATGTGGAGTCCACTTACTTTTGTAACATGTTTAACGATTTGTCTCTGGAGTCCAGGAATATAGAGACACAAACTGTGCGCCTGTCTAATGCACAGTTTGCCCTCGTAATGGTTTGAAATAACTTTGCTGTGTTTTTAAGACCATGGTCGGAACATTCTGTGCTACTTGCACAGTAACCGGCTATCCTTGCTACAATTTAAGTTTCTTAAGCTCAATGAAAA